CTTTCCCGTTCTAACCCCCTCCCCAAAATGTATTTCCAAAGGCAAATGTTTCCCTCTCCTCTGCCATTACTTTTCCCAGCAGCACACCAATATTCTATTTCATATTTTCAAACAGGACAGATCAAGAAAACTATTGGGTTTGTTGTTGTTCTCCCAAGAGCTTCTTAAGGACTCCCCTATTTACTTGCCTGAAAGGGAACTTAGCCACTGACCTGCAGAAAAATGCTCAGGAGGAGGAAGCCACTCTACACACAAGACTGTGGGCAGACCTACAGCACAATTTCAAAGGACACTGCAAAACCAAGGCCTTGTCCTGAAGTCCAAGGTATAGAAAGACAGACCCAATAGTTCTCTGGTGCCTGATACAAACAAGGTGAATCCACTGCAAGAACCCTGGGGGGCCCTGGGTTCACTTACTTTTTGGACCAAAGACATTCACAAACAACTGGCAAAAGCAAGTCTGCAGCCTGAGCTTCAGGYGGTCAGGGGACATTAATTGCAAGTAATTTCTTAATGTCCTTCTCCAAACCTTCATGAATGATAGCCATTTTGTAAATTAAATCTTGCAGGTGTTTAAAGGAAAAAAGTAGACAGGTTAATCACTAGATTAACAGGGCAATTGTTACACATTTCTTCTGCACTACTAGGTTCTATAATTAAGTCTGAAACCAAGAAGTCTTTCCCAGGATATGTTCAAGTTTAATAAAAAGACAAATAGCCTATGATTAAATAAAGTATAACTCCAAATAACATGATGATACATGCTAATTAGTGATGGCTTCCTCCAAAAGAGATCTYTTTAAATAAGAGATTACTTTGTATCCAGGGATATAGTTTGAAAGTAAAATAAATGTTTATTATTCAATATTCTCCTCATTAAGAATTTGTTATTATTGCAGCAATTGTTAGAAAATCTTAATGGCACCATCATTTTCAAATGCTATTTCTGTTTATATAATTTTTGTTTTTAATGCACCCATGTCCTCATCTCTATATATATTCATGGAAGGGTCTTCCACTATGGTCTATTGGGAATAGCAACATTGTGATATTGAAGAAGTATTTCTAACTATTCCTGTTTAAAATCACAAGAAAACCAGAATTAAACAAAACTTTGATGCTCTCAGGAATTTGTTTACTACTAAATTATCAATGTTATTCATCTCTAGAGAACACTATAAACTTGAGATTTGGACATGGAAAGCTGATGATCATCCTTTACTTTGCCTGCTTTGGCCATTTTTCTTGCACTTTGACTTCCAGTTTGATTTCTGGATATTAGTTTAGACAACAGAATATTTCCCATGCAAAAGGAAAAAGATCAAACATAGGCTGTGTGGAAGTGGCTACTATTTGTGGTCTTGTTTGTTACTCTCCTTTTTAGAGAGAGATAGTTACAAAGAATATTTTTAAGCATCTGCTGTGCAAAGTAAAAGTGGTATTTCAAAGTTGGACTAAATGCTTCTGCATCTCTTGCAAACCCTTTAAGAAGACTTGCAACTTTCCAACTCCTAGATGAATCACTAGGCTAAAAATATTCTCAAGTTCTGCTCTTCTGTGGCCTCAAAAAGRGCTAGTCCCCTGAAAAGTCTCTAGTGCCTCAAATATTGAGATGGGCATCCCATTGTTCACCCAATGCCGGAAGACTACAGGAGTTTTTGTTTTTGTTTAACCCACTGGTTCAAAACTTTTCAGCTAGCAATTTAACCTTTTGGAAAGAAGTATTCTACAAAATATATTATGCGTTAACAATATACACTTCTAAGAGTCAACATCCTGAAATGTGTAAACTTGTAGTTAGATTCCTTGGGCAAATACAGCTGTGATTCACAGGCTTCTCCCAGCAGTGTTCAGCAGAAGCAGTTTGAAAAAAGTCTACATACTTGTGACAATCCAAACACCTCTTCAAATCAATTTTAAATTCTGTTGAAAAATATAACCTACATGCCATAAAGGGTTAACTTGGCTTCCATCTRTTCCACCTTACTTCATCATGCTAGGGTTTATGAGAGATGGATGTGACATTTTTTCCAACCTACTCCATTCACCACGTACAGAGCCCCAAAGAAAAGGGAAGGTTTGAGAAGCAAATGAAATTTAAAGAGCCCATTTTCAGTGGGCCTTCATTTTGAGAGTTGGGCTATTTTTGTCCTTATTTTTAGCAGCAAAGCAATGCCTGCTTCTATAGCTGAGCACTTGTGAGGAAGAGAGCGCAGGACCACAGGCACAGCTGTCCCATTTGTATTCACAAATGCAGGTGTTGCTCAGACACAAAACAGAGGTCAGCTGAACACTGCTCCTAATTAGCTACCTTTTCTACTAGGATTTTTCTTTGTAAAGTTATGCACGCAATTTGRGTTCAACTTAGAGACCATTTTTAGATCCCAGCATGCTATCCAGCATGAAATGGGCTGTCATTATAAAGCATAATTTACAGCATAGTTAATTTTACATTTTTTTATATCAACACTATACCTAAGACAAAATTCTATTCTGCACACACTCTGTTTTCCATCTACCTCTCAATATACAAAAGAATAGAATTTAGATAGGAAAAAAAAAACTGTAATATAGGAGTGGGAAGAATTTTTCCCTTTTTCTAAGTCCACAATTTTAATAAGGAGGACTAAGGACTTCGTTAAATGATACAAGAGACATAGCTATTTGCTATTGTCTTCAGGAGGGAACACTCTGGGGCTTATTATAGMAATTCTTAGAAATGGCAGGATGGAGACTGGTATCTAATACAATCCATTATGAAACCAAAGCCCTAAATGAAATGACCACAAAATCCTATCAGTTAACAGAAATGCAGCAGCTGTACATGTTTCTTGTAAAACAATATAATATTGTAGCAGAGATAACACTTTTAAAATTATAAAACAAAAAATAAAAGAAGCCAGCAGGTGATATGACAAGTTTATTTTTCTATTTGAAAAAACTAAAAATGCATAGCATGGCAGAGCTTTGAAATACATAATAAATAAGAGTGAAAATTGCAGAGAAGTGTCATATTATATGTACACTAATGGGCTACTAGGATCAGCCAGCCAAGTMGCTGTTTAAATATCGAACCAATGCAACTCCCAGACCTTACAAGAGGTCCTAAGACCTATCCCAGTAACTCCTGGTGAGAAGTGCAATGTCAAGCTCCTCCTCCCACTGTTGATTTTATCTACTGTAAGTACTCTAAACACTCATTCTTATCTTGGCTCCAAATCATCTATTTTTCAAAAATGTATGTTATGAAAGTTTGAATTTGGTTTGACCTTAAGCATCATAATGATTTTTTTTAAAAAAAAGCCTATACATTATATAGTATTCTGGACTGCTTTTCCAAGTGATATCAGGTGCCTTTCTTCAAAGGCTTACTATAAAGTAAATCACTTTGCAAAGTGTCATATGTGTCATCAGGGTTGTGACAAATACATCTTGCTTGATTTCATTCACTACAAGCAGTTCATCAAGATTCAGAACCTTAACCCTTCAGAATTATAGAAGACAAAAAGCCCTGTTCTATAGCCATCTTCTGGGATGGAATGCAAAGTATTTTGTTGTGGTAAGTAGGGCTTTGAAGAAGAAAGCTCTGGGCCCACTCCTGGGATTGTTACTCCAGCGCTCAGCATTCAAAATGGGAGCCCCAGGGTCTTGGAGATCATTTTAATCCTCCTATATTAAAACAAAACGTGTCTCCCAGGCATGTTCTTCTCACCCTCCTCCCCAGATTCACTGGCCCCTCCCAAGGGAAAGTGAACTCGACTGTTGACCATCCCCAAAGAATTCCAGACAATTTCCTTACTTGACTCCATGTTCCWGTGAAGATTATGAGCCTAATTCTTAAAGACTGCTACTAAAATTCCACCCCACTGAATTCTGCAGCCTAATTCTTTAGGCATTATGTTTTGGCAGAATGAATGTGACCCAAATTTGCAGCAGATAATTTGCTGCAACAGTGCTTCTTGCAATGCAGTAAGCCCATGCTTAGCATTTCAGAATGGCAAACATTAGACTTTTTAAAAATAATAATTGTTTGCTTCAAGAAAGAACTGATTTTGATTTTGTATTATGGAAAGGAAAATGCTTAGCAAAATGTAGACTGTTTTATGAAGTAAGGAAGCTTCACAGATCAATGAAAAATAATCAAGGACTAGCATTTAACATCAGTACTTGGTGGCAAAATGTTATAGCATTTCTTTAAAGATTAAAAAATTGTTGAGAGAGAGAGTGTGTGTGTGTGAGAGAGAGAAAGAGAAAATGTGTGTGTGTGTGTGTGTGTGTGTGTGTGTGTGTGTGTGTAAGAAAAACATCATGCATCCCATTTCCCATTGATGGTGGCTAATAATATTGGAAAAGGTCATCTTCAGACCTAGGATGTCTTTTAAAACAAAATAAAAACTATAACTATGGCTGTCCCTGTGTTACCCAGCATGCGTCTCACAAATACTTGGTGGTGTGAGCAGTGTTGGTTTATGTATTCATGATTTCCCCTTTTGTCAAGATTAATCAACTTTAACATAGAGTGTCAAGGAGACGTGACATTTTTCCTGACTAGAATTTGTGGGTCAAGTTTGGAAAGAGCAACAGCAGTATTCCCATTGAGAGTAAGAATTAAACTGGGTGGACTAAAGCTTTCTGGCCATGCTTCTGTGGCTAGTTTCTCAGCTCTGGGAAGACGTTGCTACCACTTAATCTTTCGTGGGCTCTAGACTGCCCTCTGCTACTGAAAAGACTGCGGATGAGGACACCAGCTGTGATCAGGGGTCCCCGTCAGATTCATTCACCCTCTCAGAATTCAAACACCAAGCCAAGAGAAACTGAAGAACAAGGTTACACGTTAGAAGGGATTCCTTATTCCAAAAAGTTGAGCATGACAGAGGAAGAAAACGGACAAAACAAGGAATAAAAGTACAAAAGGGAAAGGGGRCGCGGCTTGGACTGAGTCTACGAGGCGCATGCGCACATGGTGGGAGGCCGCGGGGCGCCCCTCTAAGGCGGCTTACCTTGTTTCTCTTGAAGTAGGCTCGCCGGCAGGCTGCAAAGCACTTCTCGCTGCAGAAGCTTTTCACCTCGCTTCCCATACTCAGGGAATAGCGCTTGATTCCCACTTTCTGGCACCAGGCACACATTATTTGTACATTTGACACATCATCTTCTATAATAAAAGTATAAGAAAAATGTTCATATCAGAAGCAAACATCCCTTCAAACTTAGACGCACCCTGAACCTGACAGCTCCTGAGGTCTGATCTCAATTTGCAGACCTTACCATTTTCTGAGTAGGATGGCCAGCTCTGGGGGTGGGGGTGGGAGAGGGGGTGCTCAGTGCTAGCTCTTGCTCTCGCCCTCTCCACCACACCCTTCCCTAAAGTTTGCAAAAAGCATTTACTTAAAAACCAGAGCATGACTGCAGAGCCACAGGAGTTCCTCGGACTTCTCAGCCTAGTTTCAATCTGCCTAACCGGCACCAGGAATGAAGTAATAAAGCTTGTAAAATAAATGACCCATTTCTTCGAAGGTCCTGCTTCAAGTCTACAAGACCTGCATTGGGTAAGATAATTTGTAGAGTACTAACCTACAAACGCAATGCCCTCCCATGAACCTTGACAATCAGGGGCCAGGCTCCACCGGGGCATGTTCCCCATTACTGTTAAATGACATGAGCTGGTGTTTACCCTTGAAATAGAATGATTTCCAAACCTTGTGTTTAGTTTAAAAAAAGAAAAAGGAAGATGTAAGTGGCCAGACTCTGGCAATGGGAAGGGAGAAGCCTGGCTGGCTGAGCAGTTTCCTACAATGCCGCCTTCTGGGGCTGGTGTCCTCAGGGAGATGCAGGACTGATTTAAATTCTCCTCCATGTGATATGGCTCCTAGTCCCTGGATGGAGGGATGGTAACAGGGATGTCAAATCTTTCTCATCCAGACTGGTGGTCCTCCTGGCTCCTGGAGGACCAGTCAGTCATGTCAAAAGGTAGCTCAGAGTGACTTCAGGTGGTAACAAATATTTCTAATATTTAAAATGCTGCCTTTCTTTTCCTTTGCATGAGAAGAAACAAACATAACTGGCACAATGAGACTATGACATCACAACCATTACTGCTTAAAATAAACATAGGCTTTTAAAAAGAGTTGGTTAATAAAATATTGAGTAAATCATAGTGCAGGTGATAAGTTATGAAAAATTGAGAGGGTGATACTCAAAGGAGAGACACTGGCCTCTTTTAGGGGGAATGAAAAGAGGCCTTAGAAGCCTAAGAAATATTTCCTTGCTGCTTCCTAGGAGCTTTTGCTGTATCTTGAGCATTCTCTATCCTGCCAACTGAATGTGTGTGTGTGTGTGTGTGTGTGTGTGTCTGTGTGTGTGTGTGTGTGTGTGTGTGTGTGTGTGTGTCTGGTTGGCACTATTAGCCACAGCTCTTCTTCCTTCATGGAATTTTTTTGGTTTTTGTACTAACCCAGACTCATGCTCCAGATATGAATGGTAATCACAAAATCCCCAACAAGCTCTGGTATAGTGTTGTCTGATCTCTGAATAAAATCCCCCAAAGACTAATTGCTAAGCAAGGCCTGGTCCATGAGTTGTTGACATATTCATGGTTCATAGAGTCTGTCATGCAATCATTCCATTTCCAGGGAAAAGATTTGGTTTGAGGCAGTGTGGTCATCAGCCTGCAAAATTAGAAGCAAACTAATTTGTAATGCAGTGATATGTTTTTTTTCCTCTGAATATCATCACTCAGAACCACATGCAGCATTTTATTTACCTTAATGGAATAAATATTGTCATTTTAATGATCTTTTCTAGTTCACAAATTACAGATTGTGATCTATTGTCAATTATCCAATGAGACAGTCTAAAAAGTGATCTTTGATATTAGTTAAACATATTTTATATCATGACTTCCTTTAAATGAAGTCATAATATGAATTCAAATATAAAACAATTAAATATAAATTCAAATGTAAAACAATTACTGCATTTAATGACTTGTAGTCAAAGGAAACATCTTTTATATGATTTCTAATGTGGCATCAGTCTACATATAGATATTTTATGTTATGAAAAATTAACAAAGCTCTAAAATCTACCTTAGAGTATAGCACAATTTTCTTAAATTAGGCTAGAAGTAATTGTTTTGTTTTTAGTTTGTTTCTTTGAGAATGAGTCTTGGTAAATTGCTGAATTTGAAACTTGAAGCTGAATTTGAAACTGAGACCTTCCTGCCTCAGCCTTCCAAGTAGCTAGGATTACAAGCATGTGCCACTGTACATGGAATAGAAGTAGCATCTTTTAAAATAATTATCCATCATTACTAAACTAACTAGTATTAACAGTTTCTATTTTCCTAATCAACAAGATGCCTTAAAAATCTTAAATTCCTGAAAAACAAGACAATAACAGCAGAACTCTCACAAATGATCCATTCGGAAAAAAAAGCTTGATTCTGATGAACTCTGTAAGGAAAAAAAAATTAAGGGGGAGAATGATTTGTTCTCACGGTTTAATGAGAAGATCCACTTCCCAGGGAGCCATTTGAAAACATGCATTAGGTTCCCAGCATTTCATCTTCCTTTAAAGGGGTGATTTGGGAAATAAAACATGAAATTCCTTCCTTAAGTGCTGTCTCTTTAATTACAATGGAGTACAACCAAGATGAGAAAGGGCAGAGGACAAAGCTACAAGAAGGCCCCAGTTGGGACCTGGCCTGGAAGAAAGATGCCGGGGACCAAAAGGCCGCTTCAGGTCCTTTTCATGCTTCCATCATCACCAGACAGATCCACCTGTCACTTTTTAAAGAGAGGAAAAGATACTTTCTTACAATAGACCTAACAAATAAACAACAACAACAAAAGTAGAATGTAAAGCAGATTATTTTATAAATCATTCTTGCTGCAAAGTAACAACGTGGGAAGATGAGACAAAAGAACTGTGCACTCTTGTTATCTGACAGGTGCAGAACTCTTAGAATGGTGATTAGCATGTGTCTTGTTAAATAAATCAGTATTTCTCTCCATTTTTCATAAAGGCAAACACTTTGGAAAAACTTTCATCAGATTTCTCTTTTTCTTCCATGAAACTTATCAATAGCTAATGATAAATGCATTATTATTCCAAAAGTTCAAGAAAACACTTTCAGGTATCTCAGGTATTCTAGTCTTATAAGTCATTTATGTTACTATTAGACTTAAGAAACTAAAAAAGAACTATTGATTATCTAAATTCATTTTGTCAGCCAAATCGCAGCTCAGATTCTGCCACCAGATATGACATACGGCCCCATCTTGGCATGACAACATCCCTAAAAAATTGAACTTTGCCTAAGTAATCAAAGTCATAGGGATCAATTCATTTCAACCTCACTTTTTTTGCCTTAAATCTGGTAATCACAGGCATACTTTACACTGGCAAAACAGAAGGCCCCAGAAATTTCGCTTTTCTAACTTATATAGTTTAAATTTTTTATGTAAAAAACATTTCTTTAAACTAGAGAAAACCTGAGTTCCAATATAATATTTAGGCTAAAAATCTTGCCATAAGAGATTTGAGATTATCTCAAGGAAGATTCACACTACAGATTTTTATATTGTATATCTTACAGCCATTAGCCTGTGTATTTTTATAATGAACAATGTAAAATGTTTACAGCATTAAATCACAATCCCAGAGTGAATGGTTTATATAAAATGATAAAAATTTCATAAGATGTCATATAAATATGCATCAGCCAAAATATTCATGTTTCAATTAATCATGAAAAGTCTGTACCACCTCTTTAGGATTTAATTAAGCAGAATGTTCAGGGCATTTTCTTTCTAATCTAATCTTCAAAGAGCTATAGAACATTTTTCCACTTTACATTCCAGAAGGGAAAGTTCAGATTAATTACTCGAAGATGAAATCAAAATTGTATTTATTTATTATAGTGAAGAGAAGTATGAGATCAAGCATTTCTGGAATGCCTTGCTGAAGTTGTTTCAGAAATTGCCTTATCTGGTGACTTTTAAAAATAAGGATAGCCATTGGCCAGTGAGTTTCTTGGGGCATTTGAATCATGGCTATAAACACACATACTAGCTTACGTGACCAGGGGCCAAAGAAAAACAGGAGGGCTTTAATGAACCCCAAGCAATTAAATTGTAATTTTAATTGTAACTTTCATGGGAGTCCCTTTGCAACACTCATGAGAGTCCAAGACTGAGGAAAAAATTCTGAAAATATTTGCTGGTGATATTTATTTTCTCCAGTAGTTCCTAGAATGCAGACATTCAGATAATCATTTCAAGAATTGAATTATATTTGAGATAAGCTACAAAGCAGTTTGAGGAGACTCCTATGTGTTGTGTTCCCCATGACCTGGGCAGCATTCTGTCAAACTCGCTGGAGCAGCTATATTTAAGAAGGACATAAAGGCTCAGTGGTAGAGTGCTTTCCTAGCATGCATAAGGCCCTAGGTTCAAAACCCAGCATTGAAGGGGTGGGGAAGAAGCAAAATAAAGACATCACCTGGAAGGCAGGCAAGTAACTGGGGTTAAAGTTTGCTTTCTTTGCAATAAAGACAAAAGGAGACCTGGGGTAAAACTTGAATTACTGATCCATAAAATAAAATAAAATAAAATAAATAAGTAGACAGCCACTATTCAGTATCAGGCACAGTGTACCTCATCATTGATCAACATCATGTCATCTTAATCACAACCCCCAACCAACAGGCAGGTACTAACACTATCTTCTCTATCTTCATTCTGTAGGAGGGAACATGAATTTGGAGGCTAATTGGCTCCAGCTTACACATGAGTACATACCAGAGTCTAGATGAAGACCCAGCCATATGACTTGACAGGCCTAGCTCTTGACCACTACACCTTGGACACCAGACTCTTCTCAGCATGTAAGATTACATACCATCCACACAAACTTCCCTCCACAAATAGGACTAGAAACTGTCACAGATTCTGCTACTTACAAAGAACACTGCTCAGTGACACTCCAGTAGACAAAATGGAATCAAAAAGGTCAAAATGTCTTTGAGGAGACAGCTGAAGTGTTAATCAATATTTCCTGATTGATTTTTTTTTAAGTTAAAGGTCTGCAGTGCAAGCCTTTACTTCTTTATGACTGTGAGACTGGCTCTGCTGCATKCGTTCCATATGAACT